TGAGCCGGCCGACCCCGCGGGCCGTGACACCACAGTGACATTTTAATTCAACACGCATTTGTCATCAGCCCTGGCGCACATATTAATGCCTGCTATGATTATGCCCCCGCGCCTCCTCAAATATCACGGAAGCAATACTGTCCTGAGATGTATCATGTCTGCTGTACTCAATATAGACCTGACACTGCTGATTATTCGAACTGGCCGAGTGTGTCAGCGCGTAAAGTAAAGCGGCAGCTTCTCGCTATGGTACCAAAGGAACACTCCTGCTTGATGTACAGCTGTGTAACGCTTTCAGAGACATCGGTTACTATCGTGGACAGCTTATCGCGTTTTCAGGTTACAGGGCGGAGGAAAGGGTTAAAGTACTTTGTATGATGACTTAAATATGTGACACTGAAGTCATTGATTTCAGATGGTATCTATGGCTAGCTAGCTTTCCTAATAATTCAAAGCTCGACCAGATATGTGTTGTAGTTATCTCGAATTCAGGTTTGCTTCGTCAAAAAGAACATTTGCAGTATCTATAACTAGGGCCTCATTGATACAGACTGTTTTTCGGCCAATGTACAATATTTAGCTGAATAAAATTAGTTGGCCGATTAATAATAAAAAATAAAAAAAATAGATAATTGATCAAATAAAGATGTTTACAGGCAGAACATTTGACGGTTTTAGAATACTTTGTCCTTTAGTATCGGTAGGTATTTGTTTCGATTTACACCAGGCCATTATCGCAGTAACGTATTGTTTAAAAAAAAATTGTCAATCCGAAACGAGGCAGAATATGAATTGATTTCCCCTTAGGGTACTAAAAAGTGTTTACCTTTAGAAACAATGATGTCATAAAAATAACGGCAAAATGAAATCAAGCTTTTTTGTGGCTTCGTAGCTGTCTTTCTTAGAGAGTGCCATTTGAGAGACAGAAATAATCAAATGTACCATCCCTAAAAATGACCCGTACAAAGACCACTTATGCGTAAAAAGGGCACTCATTTAGACGTTGCAATATTTCATGCCATAAACGAAGATGGAAAAAGTGCCATTAAAGAGTTGACAGTGTGCCATTGCAAGTCCATCTCAATCTCACTGTGTTATACTGAAGCACGGAAAGAGTGGTCACATTATTATTATTATTTGTGTTTCGTAGTCTTAGACTGGTGTAACAGTCATTTGTACGGCAGCTTTCATAGTCGTCTGCAGCCATGACACGTTGTGTACTGCATGGATAAGATGTTCTAACTATCTAAAGGGTCCGCGGCCTCACTTCTTTGATTGGAACAGAGCACATCAGTGAATCATTGAAGAGTTTAGCGCTACCCTTCCCTCAACACATCATTACAAGCGGCCTCAGACAAGTGGTTCTGCAGTTTTGTCGGGCCCGATGTGCCAACCTTCCAGCAGCAAAACCAGCGGGGGGTCATTCGGAACGTGTCGAGTGGCTGCATTCAAGGCCGCAATCACGTCCAAGACCGTCTTGTGTTCCCTGAAGTGCCCTCTCGCTCAAACGCACACAGTGTGGAGCTGTTTTGCCTGAGTATCTGTCCGGATAAGACCGGCGGCAGTGTGCGGTGTGGAGTGCCCTTTATAAGCTAATGCTTCAACGGAAGGGCCTCACGGGCCGCCGCAATCACGCAGTTGGTCCGGTGTCAAGTTGACGCTTAGCACAACATGACGCCACCTGTCCCTGGTGTGCTGTCATTCCCTGGGAAGAACTTTGAATGAACAAACGTCTCCCCTGTGGACCTGAGAAAACAGAACCAGAGTGAATATTAAAGATGGTAATCACCTCATGCTGAGCCGTACCGTCATTTTTTTTTTTCCTGCCGTCTTCTCGCTCTGTGATTTCACAGTGAGGCAACTCAACCTTTTACTTTTTATGACAGCAGAGACATCAACAAGCATCTTTGGATTCATCATTACTTCCAGCGTGGGTGTGACAAATAGATTTATTGGCCATCTATAACATTGTCAAAATGCCATTGTTCTGTCAATCAGTGATCATTTTATTAATGAGGTTATATTTTACAGTGCCTGTCATTTTTGAGCAATGGAGGCATATTAGATTTCGCTCCAAACAAGAAGACGGTCCCATTAATTCAATTTAATGTTTATGCGGTTTAACTGGCTCGCCGTATCAACGTGCTGCGATAAAACTCAAGATTCGAAATATACAGTTCCCGGGGGTCCTCGGTTTCGCACAAGGCGAAGTCATGGTTGGTACTCAGTGCTGTTTGGGTTTGTGTGCCAAGCCCAAATTTGAGCATGCTTCTAATATGCCGCCATGAGATTACGGCAAAGAGCGCCTCAACATCTGCCCAGCAACCCTCATGTTGCTGCAATCTCAATCACGGGAAGATATCAGCTTGTTAATCAATGTACCACTGTACAGTGAATCCCTGCTATTCTGAAAAAAATAAATAAAAAAATCAGTGAGTGTTTGTAATTGACAGTCCTCAAGAAAGTTTATGATTAGCTGTAGATGCCACAAAAGGGCAGTAAGATATTACTTTTGTCAAAATGAAGCTCCTGAACTGCCTCAACATAGTTCCTGGGCAGCAAGATGCCATAAGACAGCACAATGCATTACTTTTGTCGATATGAAACTTCTCAACTCACTTCAACACAGTTTCTTGGAACAAAGATGTCCCAAAAATCTGGCAATATAATGAATTTGAAAATGATGAATCACGAAAAATCGGGTTCACAATTGATACTTTTTTGAAAGTGTATGATGGTGTGTAAGAGTTCAACCTTGGCTCAATACATTTTGGGAAACCATGAACTAATAGATTACAGTGAACCCTTACCTTTCACGGCTTCGCTGTTTCACAATTTTTTTTTTGTGCAGTTTTTTTAATGCTTTTTTTTTTTTTTACAGTGCATTGTGTTCTGCATCCTGATTGGCTAAGGGCCTGTAGACCAATGTCAACAGTCTCCGTGCCTCGTCTTTGTAGAGCAGGTGTGCTCAACCTTTTGAGGCTGAAGATCTACTCCATACTTAGTTTACTAGCAACGAACCTCCCATCACGGGTTCTTTTTGGAACGTAACCCTCGCAATAAACAAAGGTTCACTGTATCTCAAAGGTCAAATGAGAAAACATGCTCACTGTCTGTCATGACAATTTTCTTCCCGTTGGTGGCTAGCTACCAGCCATTGTTTTTGAATGGATATTTTTCATGCAAATTTTGGTCCGTTTCTGAAGATGACCTGAATGAAATGAATGTCCCTGACCATCAATCAAAGAAATGTGTTTGACTGTGGTGCTGTAGCTCACATGCGTTGTACGTAGACCTTGTAGACGGACATTGCCATCCATTACCATCGTGTTTATGTTTCTTGACCTTGCCAGAAGGCTCAGTGACAAATAGGGCCGTCGTGTCGTAGATGGACGACGACGGTATAACAATCGGGCACTCGGGGCAGCTCTTCCGGTGGCGAGTGTTGTGTGGGCCTGTATTGTGAGCTTTTCGGTCGGTGCTGATCTAACCACACTCATCCAGTCCTTTAAGCTGCTTGGGTTCCAGCCACCAATATGGCTCATACAGCTGTGTTCCGCATCTCTCACTCTGATTCATTGGCTGTTTGTCTTGCACACCCATCTGGGCCAATGCCGAAGACGCATGGCTGTTTGGGTGCAGTGAGACTGCATTGAAATGCTACGGATAAGATGGAGTCCTAGTGCTATGATGGCCGACTTAGGAGAGTGGCGGAGGGTGTATTTTCCGGAGGTAGACAGAGTGCCGATAAGAGATTTGTGCTGCTGAAAAAGGCCAAATCAAAAATGATGATCGGGGTTGGGAACAGAATGAATGGAGGCTTTGTGGTAAATACTCTTGTCACTATTTCAAAGTTACCTCAAGTGGTTTTGCCAGTTCAGGAATATTGAACTCAATTTATGCCTGTGTACAATTCAGGTGAGGTTGCCACCGTGAGCTAGTTTGACGGCATCGAGTTTGTTGCATTTTCCCCCATATTGAACATTGTAATGTCTCACTGTGGTTGCCTCGTTAACATCAACAAGCCTCTTTACAAGTACACACACACACACACACACACACACACACACACACACACACACACACTCACATTGTCACTGTTTTTGCTTTTCGGCTCCCGGGTTAATAATTTCAATGCACTAATTAGATCCTCATTTTGTTGATTCACTCGACTATGTTGCCATTAGGACAAGAATGGAATCTTTAGTTAAAGGCTTGGTGATTTTGAAAGACAAATGGAAAAGCATTACAGCAGACTAAATTTGGAAGAAGCAGTGATTTTAATATAAATTAATCAGTATGCGTTTTTGTTTTTGTTTTGTTTTTTTGCTGCAAAGAAAGATCAATTTTATCCCTCGAAAGCTGTCTCATAAGTTCCTTGTAAGAGCTTTTCATCCTCTTTCTAACCTGTGCTTGGTTTCTTTCTTTTTGACTTGATTCCACATAGTCTTGTACAATGATTTCAGCTTCACTATCCATGCTGTGAAGGTGCCATATGCAAGTGGTTCAAAACCTATTGCTGGGATGAACAAAGTAGTCTGAATTAGAATCTCGGGGTTTATAAAATTAACCAGGAGGTGTTTTGGCACTGATTCGGTGTTTGGTAAGTGAGTTTGGCTTTGCCTAGCTGGCTCAAGATCACCCCCTAGGGGTTATTGGTTGAGATACTCCAGAGAATGGGAGCTCGCTCACATCTTGGTGCTAAGGTACTTTTGAAGTGAGTTGCAGGTTTCATTTAGACAAAAGGAGACAACCCCTTTTTGAATGGATAATACCAGCAGTGGTTAGTGGGATTTTTATGACCATTACTGACACGTTTGGGTTATTAAACAAATGCATCGGGTCAAATTGACCCAGGAGCATTTTTGCCAAACTTCCCGAGACACAAAAATAATGCGAGGTTTGAATGTGCCCTGGATTGGACACACACACACATAATAACCAATCAAAGCCCTGTTGACTTGTCACACTCACTCTGCTGATTTTGTGTTTCCTTCCAGAAACTTGCCAATGAAGCAGAGCAGCTTCAGAAGGATCACGAGTGGCAAGATGGAGTGACGGTAAAGTAGGACACCATCCCTCCTTTCCCTTTCTTCCCCGGACAACCTTCCCATCTCTTCCCGTTTTCCTTTTCGGGCTACTGGTGTGTCTTCCCATGACATGGTTACTCCCTCCTGACTTTCAGCTCTCCTACTTCTCTCCTGTGTACACCAAGCTGAGTACACGTATATAGATTGTTAACGTCTGACTCGATTTGTCAAACATGAGAGACCTCACATACACTGAGGAAAAAATCTGAAGTGTTTTCTTCAACACTTCAACAATCCTATTGTGTGTTGTGCACTCCAGATGACCAACACAGTCGTAGCAAGAGCAACATGTGAGAGGCAGCACGGTGCCACAGAGTATCCAGACTGCTGGAATATCCAGTGCAAATGAAAGAGCGGGCGTAAAGGAAGAAAGAGAACAATTTAGGATAACTGTAAGCGTATCTTTTACTCCATAGTGGTTTCAAACTCTTCTCCTTGTTATTTTTCTTTTCTATTCACAATTATGGAGTCTGTGGCTCTGCACAACTCTGTGTTAACCCCAAACACCAGGATTTGCCCTTGTAGATATAGAACAGGTTTAACATTGATTAATCTTATTACAGTCAGGCAATCTATGCTATTAGGCTAACAATTTACAATTGTTGATCCCAGACTGTTTTGTGAGCAAATTTTGGTGGTAAATCACTCCACAGCATTATTAGCTGTATTACAATAATAATTGTTATTATATTTATATGTATGTATTAAGTGTTAGGCTTAGCAACAGGCAATTTTTTTTTTTTTTATGAAACACCATAGCTATAAAATTACAATGCATGGCAGAATATGTATTGCAAACGCTTTTATAAGTCAAAAGTGAAAATATCTCAAAAACCTACTGATCTAGGGAAAAAAAAAGAGATTTTTTTTTTTTTTTTTAATCGGCGTCAAAATTATGTTTGGGGACACATACAGCCACATGTGATTAAAACATGCTATTGACTAGTATTATGAGGCATTACCTGACTTTGATCAGTAGTGAATCAAATTCTGATTGCCGGTATGTATTTACCCCGCCTAATGTGATCAGCATCACAGAGACCAATGGAGATATACTGCAACAACACCCCCCCCCAAAAAAAAAAACAAAAACAAAAAACAAACGGACACAAATGCACTTCATAGATGCTCACACGCAATACTAGCATATGAGTTGTCAGAGCCTCCTTCAACAGAGCATGCTTTTGCTGACCTTTAAATCAAAGATCCGCTCTTGAAATCTAAAGGAAAAAAACCCCAACAAAATCACAATATTGCAGAGCTTTGTTTATTCGTCTGTATCTGTTTGTGATCCTCACATGCACCAATGACTCTCAAATTTGTAAACACTCAAATGCCCCCACAAACATGCGCGCACACACACACGCACACGTATGTAGCAGATACACATTCCCTCCTGTCATATTCTCTGTCTCCAGGGAGACAAGTTCGCTGTCATGCTACACTTCCCGCAAATGGATTTTTAACCCCCCTGTGCCTCCAGGAGGATGTTTGAGAAAAGGCTTTAACTGATTTCAAACGAATAATAATGAGCGTCACTTCCTTGCAAAGTCCTTTTTGTATTTGTTTTATTTAATATAAATCCACGCTTGCTTACACTTTGATGCTTCAGCATTAGGGTGACCGCTCTGTGCTTCGACCTTCCCTCGTGGTTCTTTCGCCAGTGGCAGTGGGGGGAGATTTGATGTCTGCCTAGCTCCAGTTCACAAAGCTGCATCCAGTATGGCGTCAATACTCCTCCAATGCTGGTACAAACCCGCCTCTCCATTTAAGTGGGAGCCTTCCTTCCTTCTCCTCAATTTTTAGACCACGTCGGCAGGGATTGATTGTCGCCCATCTGGGTAGGGCAGAATTTCTTAACCTCTTTTTTTATTTATCTATTTATCTTTTTTTATGGGGCAAGGTACTCCTTTTATATTAGAAAAGTCTCACTGCACACCACCAAACAAAAATGCCACAAAAAGTGTAAAAATTGAAATAATAATAATCATCGCAATGTACACACTAATGGACTTCATCAGTGCGAAATCTGGGCCTGTTTAATTGAACTCAAAGCTATTTTTCTTTTTTGGGGATGAATGGCTAAAGGTGAATGTGTGGGTTTATTGTACCTTCTGCCATTTAATGAAAGTGTATGTCATTGATTTGATTTGCTTGTTTTTGAGCAGGCCAAATTAATATTTCTCATTTTTCAAAGAAGCCAGACTGCAGCGCCCTGTATTTATAGCAAACAAAAAAGCCATCGCCGTGGACACCAATAGCAACAAAAACAAGCTCGACATGTGCGGCTCAAAAAGGGGTGAGAAGAAGAAAACGTATTAAATCCAACCTCCATTTTACATTTATATTACACGCTATACAGAGGACCTCTGCTTCCCTCGTAGTAAAGTCAACCTATAAATCCCAATACAAATAACAGATTAACAAAAGTGATGTATATGTGGATATATATAAATATTTTGGGGGTTTCTGTAGCGCAGATTTCCACCGATTCCGGGAGGGTTTGGAATGCATCCCCCCGAATAAACGGGGGTTCACTCTACCCCACATTCATTTAATTCCCCTCATCTGTCCAGCTAAGAGCTTCATCCCCACGCTCACCCTTTTCCTCCCATACAGCACACCAATTTACCTTTTTTCCTTATCAGCACGTGACTCTAAATCAGGCATGAAAACAGTCGGAATCTATCATATTGTTGCAAATAGCGCAGAGGAGCCCTCTATTAATAATGTATTGGAGCTGATTTCATTTGCCTTTATAATTAGGCCAGGTAATGAATCCCAGCAGGGGCGACCGTGAAACCATTAAAGAGAAATCTCAGAGAGGCGGAGGAAGGGTGGAGAAGCGAGCGTTGTGGGGCGGGGGGTGTGGTGACTTGATATGCCTCAACCTCGCGAGAAGATTCTTCATGTTTGTAGATTTTTGTGGCTTCCTAATTTTTCTTTTGGCTGAACACCCTGCTGACTGACAGTCTAATTAGATTAGAGCTGCATGCTCTTTGGGCACATTAGGAGCGATGCGGCGGTGCATTTTAAACTGGCGGGAGGAGCAGTCTGTCAAAGCCACAGAAAAGGTGTTTATGCATGGGAGACGGTGCATTTAATTGCGCGTTCATGTGAGTGGGGAGCGGGAACTGCACAAATATGATTTTTGGTGTCTGTTGCTGAATGCATTTTGTTTGATTATTGCTACTTTCCCCCAAGGACGTCACATTTTTAGTGCTTTCTTTTTTGTTTGCTTGTTTTTATGTGCAGGATTATACACATTGCGCTATTTCAATGAAATATGGTGGGTGTACTTTGGCTTATCCAAAGCACATACAGTACTAAAGGACACAAAGTATTTTAAAACAATCAAATGTTCTGCCTGGAATTCATATCTTCATTGCTGTAAGCATTAAAGGATGAAAAAAAAGATTTTATTCATTACATTTATTGCGATTTTATTCTGATTTGAGATGAGAGGAATACTGTATCAGAAAAATGCCTGTAAAACTGAGTTAGTTTTAATGATTTTGTTCAACAATTGTATTTCGTTGGGAGAATAATAGCATTCAAGTATCACAGAAGGCTATTAGAACGGTCTTTTTGATGTTTTTCATAAATTCCAAGAATTTACTCAACTAAATATCTGTTACAAAATTTGTAGAGAATTACAGCAGCAGAAAAATGTGATTAATTATGGACAATTTTGGAATTAATAGTGATTGCAATTAGTAGCTCTTTAAAATGTTTCTGAATAAGAACGACAGAAGGGCTGGAAGAGTAGTTGAAATTTCATTGTAAATTCAATATTGAAAACAATTGAAGGAAAACTATTAATATGCAGATCGGCGTGGTGCATTTACACGTTCCCGACATCGTGATAGTACTTTGGATGCACCATGTAGCTTGCTGAGCAAGCGTGAAGCGTCTGTGATTCTGCCGTCCTTCAGCGGACTTTAAGATGTTTAATCACACCCCCATTGGAGTTTTCTGTAAAAGTAAACACACAACAAAAAGTATTACACACATTGTATATAGTTCAAAACATGCTTTATTTTTAAAACATTGCTAGCACTAATGCTAAAATCCATGTAATATCCCGTTGCCATGCTAATGAGCAATTAGCATTGAATTCGAGGGTGATATTCCTTCAAATAACCAAAATAGACATACACAAACGCTGTGAAAACATACACACAGTTAACATAACATTGCTCAAAGGCACAATTTTTTTCCCAATCTGAGAAAAATTTGTTGTATAAATGGAGCTTTCTTGTTATCTCCTTATAAGTATCTACTCCATCCATGCACGGCACCATACTGCCTTTCAGAGGTCAAAACTAATTGTTCTTATTTGAGCATATTCTTAGTTTACTTTTTTTTTTTTATTTGTTTAAATTAGTTGCGATTTTCAATCTCAATCAAAATAACAGTGATTATTACTTTTTCTTTTTTTTTTCTTTTCTTTTTTTTTTTTGTTAATGGACGCTGCAGCTTCTTGTTGCTTTCAAACCTAACTTGTAGCAGACGTGTGCACATATTCAGCATGACGTCCTTGATCCACTGGTGAAAAGGACACTTTGATTCGCTCCTCTTTCATCTATAACTGCTTCAAACAACAAAGTGTATGCAGAAAAGTGGTTAAGATTGCACGAGTGTCTGTGTCTTATGTGTTGTGTTGTATTATTTTGTCATCTATGTTAACTGTCCTTTTGATGGTGGTGCGGGCACCCGCAGCGGCTCCTCTTGTTGTCTGGTTGAGAGGGAATAAATTTCATCTGTGCTGTATGTTGCACATACAGCGCATTTGACAATAAAGTTCTACTTGACTTGACTTGACTTTATTCCAGATTTGTCCACCCCTAAATAACAGGAGTCTCAGTGTTTCCGTTGCGGCAGAGTGGAGTCTCCGACTGCAATAGGTTCCTAATTGTTCTGTTCAGTTGTGTCGCTTCGTGTGCGGCGACTCTCAAGCTATACGATCA